TCTAAATCAATTCCGAATAACCTGAAAACCAAAACCGATGATTCACATAAGTCATAATATATCGTACGGAGCTACTCATGCCCTCAAACAACCGAGCGAAGTGCAAATACTCAAAACGACCGGTCGGGTCGTTACAACTATATAAAGGGGTCTTATTCCATAAGGAGGCTATGGTTTTCAATATACGGTTTTCGTAGGAGAAACTCGCCCACACAAGTTTTGTCAATTCCGGGTATTATTTGGGTCAGACAGCAGAAGATTGCGGAACTGGAGGATGATCTCGTGGACAGTGTTTGCTCGCACTTCAAGACTCTTTTCTCGATCGCGGTCACACTTCAAGAGATAAGTATTGATTTTATATTCAATTAAAATCTGTAATTATGTGTTGTCTATATTACATGCAAGTGATTCTGGCTATTTGCTTTCGTTGTTCATACATATTTTCCATCGAACGCCTATAAATATATGGTTATGTCCCCTCAAATCTCCTCAGCCTTAGGTAACAATCCCAGTTGTAGGAGGAGAATGAGACCAAGACGTATTAATTAACTTACCTATCAAGCTTATTAATGAGGAGGACATCCAACATTTGACATGTACTTAGTCCATGCGCACGGCATCTTGCAGCACACTACTAAAAATCAGGTGATTTTGTCCAAGGCTTTCCGACCGAAATCGGTCGAAAATTAAAGTTTGACAATTAGTCAACGCTTTGAAGTTTTCGACCGACTTCGGTCGAAAATTTCCGACCGATTTCGGTCGGTACACATTTGCGACCATCATTTTTCTGTCCAATTAAAATCGGTCGGAATTTGGTCAGAAATCATCAATTTCCGACCGATTTCGGTCGGAAATAGTGGACGGAATTGCACTGTTTTTTAGTTGTGGCATCACTTGCATAGACATGTAGCGTATCAAAGATATTAACATTTTGTCTAATACTTCCCATTGTACACCTAAAAGAAGTTTGGTCAAGTACTTAGGCCAATATACTTAGGTACCTTTCGACTATAAATTAACTTACATGCTAATTCCAGTATCCAATCACCACCACCACGATCTGCCTGCCTACCACCATTATCACTACTAATCCACTGTCTCAGTTGGCGTGCTAATTTGGATAAGCAATAAACGCACTTTGAGAGAATATAACATAGCTGATTGACGGGCGCTTTTACAGTGGATACACGCATGAATGCACCAACAAAGATTACCATTACTTACAATTCATTTTTATGATTTCATAGTACATATTGTCTATCCAGTTTATAGAACTGGGCTAGTGGGATCAAGCCTTTACGACACTATAAAACGAACTTAATTTTCATCAACATTTGTCAGCAGCAAAATGAAAGGCCTTTCTTTGTTCTTCTGCTTTTCTCTTTTCATTGTCGCTTTCATAAGAGAAGCCGACTCAGCTTCTCAAGCACAAAACAATGGCATTTATATTGTTTATATGGGTGCTGCGGCTTCTTCTAACGGTGGTACCAGACATGATCAAGCGCAGCTTATCAGCTCCTTGATCAGAAGGTAAGAGTTTTTAACATATCTATTTTGCATGCCTTTTAGGAATTGACATGCATATTAAAAACCATTAGATACACAGGATACTTTTGTTATATTAGATATTTTTGTGTTTTTAAATTACTCATATACATTTGTCGCGTAAGGATTTGTTAAACACTATCACGTCATTCAAAGGATATACATATATAGGTTAGCGTCCTTAAAATGTGGGATTCGTAATCTTTAAAATAAGATAGGCTACTTGAAAGGTGACATGATGGTATAAAACATTCTAACACTGACGGTAATCTTAAATTATATATATAATTTAAACTCTATTTTTTATTACTTCCCAAGTCTTTAGGGTAGTAATTTTTACCGTGAATGTGTGAATAGGTTATATATAGAATTTAATTGGTGTTAAACTGGTTTCTTGAAATTTTCGTTTTTCTTCACGTCACTAAGTAATAATATCAATGTCTGGTTTATGTTAGGAACAAGAATGCAGTGGTACACAGCTACAACAATGGTTTCTCAGGATTCGCGGCACGTTTATCAGAAGCTGAAGCTAAATCCATGGCTCAAAGACCTGGAGTTATCTCTGTATTTCCTGATCCAGTACTGCAACTCCACACTACACATTCATGGGATTTCTTGAAGTATCAAACTGATGAAAAAATCAATTCAAGTCCAAGCTCTGGTTCTGATTCATCATTAATTGGAGCTGATACCATAATTGGCATATTGGATACGGGTAGGATATTTCAGAAAAATCTTATTACATCATAATATAATACTGCAAATTTATTGCAGCACTTTTCTTTGTTTATAATTAAGACAAGGATCATAAGATCATTGAAATTATATTCAGGTATATGGCCAGAATCTGAGAGTTTCAATGACAAGGATATGGGTCCAATTCCAGCCCGGTGGAATGGAACTTGCATGGATGGTCAAGATTTTGGCTCTTCAAAATGCAACAAGTAATTTTCTCCTCCTCATTTTTGCACTTTCTTTCGTAGGTTTCATGCTTACAACAAAACTCCACCTGTATGAGTTTCACATAGTATATATTTATATAGTTGGCTCAAAATATTGTAAAAGAAGATGGTTGTGATAGGTTAAGGGAATAGATACAAAGAGTTCATAGGCGGATCCAACTAACTTGGGTGATTTTACGTATAGTTGATTGAGAAAAGAAGAATTGTACCTATAACAAGGATATATGATTAGTAGTAGCGGATCAATGAATTTCTTTAAGGGTGTCAAAATATAAAGAAGTAAATATACGAATAAGTTAAGGGGTTTTAATAATCAACTATCTTTAGTGTAATTTTCCCAGGGAAGGGGTGTCAATTGACACCTCTTAACCTAAGGTGGCTCCGCCATTGATGATTAGAAGCTTATAGTTTTTGAGCTTTTATGATGATTGTAACTTTCTATGATCAGGAAGATAGTTGGTGCAAGATTTTATGAGGAGTCTGATGACAGTGGAATAAAAATCGCTGGATCAGCCAGGGACGAGAACGGACATGGTACTCATGTTGCGTCTACTGCAGCTGGGAGTCCTGTTGCAGGTGCATCCTACTATGGCCTAGCTGCAGGAACTGCCACGGGTGGATCTCCTGGTTCAAGGATTGCCATGTATCGTGTCTGTACTACTTTTGGATGCCGTGGATCAGCTATCATGAAAGCATTCGATGACGCAATTGCAGATGGGGTTGATGTTTTATCACTATCACTTGGTTCATCACCCGGACTTGAACCTGATTTTCCGAGCAATCCTATTGCCATAGGAGCATTTCATGCCGTAGAAAAGGGCATTGTTGTTGTTTGCTCTGCTGGAAATAGTGGCCCTGGCCCAAAAACTGTTGTCAATACAGCTCCTTGGATTCTAACGGTTGCAGCCACCACCATTGATCGTGACTTCGAGACAGATATTGTCTTGGGTGGAAACAAGCTTATTAAGGTAAAGACTAACAAACTTTCTTCTGTACAATACTAAACATCAATCCTCAGCTTTGCCTTTCATGTTTATCTATTCATATACTTGGTATCCTCGTTGAGTTTCAGGGTGGAGGTATAAACTTTGGTAACATGACAAAATCGTCAGTCTACCCTTTGATTCATGGCAATTCAACCAAATCAAACAATAATGTTTCTGAGGCGGATGCAAGGTAAATGGAAGATCAAGAACGTTGAGTGACTTTTTAGTTACAAAAAATAGTTCAGTGGCTGATGCAATAAAGTAAAAGTGAGTGATATTATATGAAATTAACCCCAAAAAATGAAATGGTTAATGGTGGTGTTTCAGGAGTTGTGTTCCTGGTTCATTAGATGAAAACAAAGTCAAGGGGAAGATTGTTCTTTGTGAAAATCTTGATGATGGCGAATATTTTCCCAGTGACAAGCTAGACGAAGTGAAGAGTCGAGGTGGAGTTGGATTTATACTAATAGATGATGATGAAAGAACTGTGGCACC